CTCTACTAGACATTAATGAGCTGATATCTAGTAGAGGAAAGGATTTATGAGCTTGAAACATAAGAAGAGGCTCATTAATGAGCTGATTCAAGTAGAACTTACAAAATTTTCAACTCAACTTGTTTTGACCCATTCCTTGCCTACATCAAAAGCACACACCTCTTGTGTGTTCCACTAGTCTAATCAGCAAAGCCAAACAACCTGTGACTTGCCAATCAAACATGCTAGGTCGCTTCCAAGCATTCAACCTCTTGCGATTGTATTCCACCCATATTTCAATCTTGCATGCCCGTCTGTTTTCTCCACGACTGTTATTTGTAGTTTGAATGCTTTAGAATTGGTCTGTTGTTCATATGGAATCCTGGAGGAAATCATCTCAATTAAAGTCTTTATTTGCAAATATTTATTTAAGATTGATTTACCACTCTTAGCAAACATATAAACAGATGATTAAAAAGATTCGAACATCATTCGTCTTCTTAGTAGGTGGTTTTCCACTTCAACATATAACAAATGCACAAGCATAAGAATTGAGGAAAGCTTTATATAACGAAGAAGTTTCAGTGAAAATGTATGTTGGAATGCGGTACTAGCATTCTTTCACCGAAGAAGCTATTGAACATCAAACAATCATCTGATTTTTGTTAAACACCTTGCGTCGTCAACCTTATGTCTGATTGAGATGGTTTCAAAGCGAATACCTCGTGCCTTCGACTTCAGTTTCGACCGAGAAGAAATTAACGACAAGTGTCGTCCCGACCTCCCTGCGAGGTGAGGGGACGTTGGGAGGTTGCAGAAATTTTCCGAAAAACTATATTATTTTTTCTGTTGGAGCAATTGGAGAGCACTTCAATTTGGATTTTAAATAATCAATTGATTAATTAAAATGACTAATTGATTAAAATTAAATAATCAAAATTAATTTAAATTAATTTATAGGTTGATTAATTAAAATACGAGAACAATTTAAAATCTGAGAAATAGTTTAAATCCAGGAGTTAAAATTTGAGAGCATTGAAATTTAAATTTACTAATTGGTTAATTAATTAATTGATCGATTGAGCAACTTTAAAATAAAATTCAATAAAAAGGAGGGGGGTGGGGAGTTCCACTAATCAATATATACAACATTGCTCTCCAAATTCTTACAAACTCTTAACCAATTCACGCCAAACAAATCTCTCAAACTTTCCAAACTCTCAAACACCACCGCTCTCCAACTGGACTACTCTCAAACTCTCCAAACAACACTCAAACTTAACACTCTCCAAACAACATTGCGAACTCTGCTCTCCACAAACACTACAAACTCTCTAAAGTTTGAATCAGCACGAGCTCCTGCAACAAGCAAATAAAATTCATTAAGCATCAAAATTAAATTAATATCAAAATAAATATTAAAGTTGGAGAAAAAATAAGTACTACGCTAAGCTAAAAATAGAAAGCAGAATAGGTAGAATAGGCTAATGAAAGTAGAACAATGCTGAAAGAAAAAAGAGTAGGGTAAAGTGCTAAGCTACTTAAACAAGAAAAAAAAACTATTGTAGCAAAAAAAAAAAAGTATCACACAACGACAACTATTAGTTAATAAGTGCCAAACTAGTAAACAAACTTATAGTAAATAAATGAAAATCACAGTTTGATCTCAAGCGAACAAACAACAACTGTTCACTCAAACAAACTAGCAATTAAATCTCTAGGCATCTAGTATAAAAGATTAGGTTGTAAGACCCATTATTAGGTCACTTCTAAGTGAAGTAATAAGACAACAGGCAATGTGTTTCTAGACATGTATGAAATAATACACGAGTTTCATTCTGAGATTGAAACATATTTGAAAGGAAAGCTTGTTCTGAGATGAGGGATGCTGCTTATAATCTTTCAAGACACTTAGCCCAAATTGCTCAAGAAAATTTTGGTGATTTTAAGGAAAGTGGAAGAAGATGCAACAAAAATTGATGTGATGGATGGAACTGTGCACCATCTAGCTAGCTATGTGAAGTTTTTATTTGACTATCAATCAACTTTGAAACAATTTTTCAGGAGTTTGAAAAGGTTGGAGAAGATTCAACTTCCCAATTGGCAACCGTTACAATGCAATTTATGCAAGCTCATCAGAGTAATTTGGATGATAAATCTAAGCAATATAAGGATCTTGTGTTGACTTATCTATTCGTTATGAATAACATCCACTACATGGTTAGATCAGTTCGAAGATTAAAGGAAAAGGATTTATTGAGTGATTGGGTTCAAGGGCATAGAAGAATTATGCAACAAAAATGAAAATCAATACGAATGGGAACTGGGGCAAAGATTATGCAGTTTCTTTGTGTTCAAGGCCAAAGTTCTTCTGGTGGTGTTGTTCCTGAGGGAAGTGATGGGAGCAACAGTAGGTGAGTTTCAAGGGAAAATATAAAGGAGAGGTTGAAGTCTTTCAACATGCAATTCAAGGTGGGTGATAAAGTGATTTGAATATTTGACCCTATAGATAGAAGACTTTAGCTCGAAGAAGAAATGAAAAGTTATTTCCACGGTATTACGGGCCTTATGAGGTGGTAGAGAGGATTGGTGCGTAGTTACCCCCTACTTGCATCATACACTCGATGTTCCATGTATCCCAGTTGAGGAAAGTTATTGGCAACCCAAAGTCCTTCAGCGACGCTGCCGATTACCTTGACAGAAGAAATGGAAGTAATCCTAAAGCCAAGGGAAGTGAAAGGAGTCTGTTCAACAATAGGAGCTAGAGATGTATTGATCAAGTGAAAGGATTTGGCTGACTATAAAACAACACGAGAACCGTTCCACATGATTCAGTAGCAGTTTCTTTCGTTCCACCTTGAGGACAAGGTGACGGTTTGGGAGGGAAGTATTGATTGACCAACGGAGCCTGTGGGCCCTGACTAGCAGGGATGACGGGCAAAGAAAGAGGGGGATCCAAAGGGGAATAAATCCACCTTTAATTACTTACCATAGGAACCCAAAATTGGGACGGAATTAGAAAAATTTATTAGGAAAATGGGGGCTAATTTGAATTCAGATTTATGAGGGAATTATGAAAGATTTATTTAAAGAAAGTGTGCTGATTTGAATTGAGATTTGGGAGGGAATTAAGAAAGATTTATTTTGAATTGATATATGGGAGGGAATTAGGGAGGCTTATATAGGGCTAGTTAATGATGAGGACATCGGAGATCAACGGCTACGAATTTTTTTTAGTTATTTATTTATATGTTTTTGTACTAGTTTATTTTATATTGTTCTTTTTCCCTTTTTACCCTTATGGGTGGTCATGTAGTGTTGTAGCCCGAAGGGCATTTTAGTCTTTGTTATTTTTCTTTTCATGAGGCCTATTTATAGGCTAGCTTTCTTGTATTGAGGGAGGGATGATGATTATTGAAATGAAATTCTTCTCCTTGTGTTCTCTGTGTGAGTTCATATTTTCTTGATCTCTGGGTGAGTTCAATTTTTTCCTAGATCTCTGTGTGAGTTCTAGGGAAAGCCCAAGGTAAGGGCAAAAGCAATACCCGCCAGTCGTTGGAAGAGTCCTCGATTCGCGGTTAGATTTTTCAGATTTAGGAGGGAATTACGAAAGATTTATTTAAAGGAAGTGTGCTGGTTTGAATTGAGATTTGGGAGGGAATTAAGAAAGATTTATTTTGAATTGCTATATGGGAGGGAATTAGGGAGGCTTATATAGGGCTAGTTAGGCTGTTTAATTTTTATTATGAGATTATTTGTGTTTGTTGTAGTTTATTTTGGAGTTATGTGATACGCCTTGGTATCACAAAAACAACTAACAAACCAAGAGAAATTCAGCAAACTGCATATTTTTATTGATAAGAAATGAAATAAGAATTAAACTCTTGACAACTCCCCTAGAACACAAAAACTATAACCTATATAGAACCTTCCTAAACAATTTAAATATAATTTAGGAGACCTTCCTAAGCAATTAAACATAATTTAGAAAAATCTTTCTAAACAAATAAACATAATTTAGAAAATATTCCTAAAGGATTAAACATAATTTAGGAAACCTTCCTAAACAAATTAAACATAATTTAGGAAACCTTCCTAAACAATTAAATATAATTTAGGAAATTTTCCTAAACAAATAAACATAATCTAAGAAATATTTCTAAATAAATAGAACATTCCTAATCAACATAAATATAATTTATGAAACAATTTTAATTAGATAGAACTTTTCTAATCAAATTCTTTCTCATTAAATTCTTCCTAACGCACAATACACATATTTGGAACCTTCCTAATATAAATCATTCATGATAAAAACCTTCTTGAAACACCTCTTCCTTGATTACTTCTCTTTGCATAACAACTCTCGTAGACCCTACAAAGCTGGTCGAATTTCTCCTCTGGCTGCCCTCCTGCTTCCACTCAGCCTTTGCTGGTTCGGCTCCTGTTGGACTGGCCGGCTGGGTTGGTCCAGGCCTTCTCCTGCTACTGCTGCCCCTCCTGTTGCCGCTTCTACTGCTGCTGCCCATCTTGCTGCCGCTCCTACTGTTTCCGCCCCTCCCCGCTAGCATATCATTATTCTTAGCGGTACCTAGGGCTTGTGGAGAGTCGATCTACCTCTCGAATAGTAGATCAACTTGTATCTTAATCTTGGTTTGTTGTGACTTTATGAAAGAGAATTAACCCATAATATCTTCCTTTCTTGTTGATTTCTACTGTGTTTTTCCTTCGATATAGTTGTTTTTGCTATAAGGAGATTGGATTTCTATAAGATTGCTATATTTCAAGCGTGCCTAAAGCAAGCAATTTGCTTGTTTGTGGCAATGTCTGATTGATGTTTATTACATAAATCAGTTGGTTAAGAGATCAATGAATCATAAAATTAACTGCATTTTTGGGTTTTTTTGTCTTATTTATTTATTTATTTATCTCTTACCTTTTCTAAGATATTATCTTGAAGCTTTAATGGAGGCCTTATAGTTTGAGTAGTTGATATGTAGCTTCTTTATTTACTGCAGATTGATGTATCTAAGGGTTGCAGGGATGGATGATGGACTCAGTGTCAAGGAGAGAATATGCTTTGTAAGCAATTAGTATTCAGAATCTTAGCTTATCTTGGCATAAGTTCTTCATTATTCAATATATTGTCTGATTAGTTAATTAATTCTATACTTTTTATGATATTATGTTCGATTATTGCTGATCCAAAAGAGAAAGGACAAATCAAAATAGACCAAACTTAGTTGTTTGACTTCAACGAAGCTTAACTCCACCAAAGATGAGAGATAATATGATCCACTAGAAAATAAAAAAGCCACATTGTGGTGTTCAGAGTGAAGGGATAATCATTGCCATTTCTGAAAGCCAAGTGTACCCACATATAAGCATACAAGTTGATTATCTCTTAGTGTCAAAATAATAAAAGCAAATGCATCATTAGGATAAAAAATAATGCCAAAAACCAAACAAAAGATAATTAAAAATGTAATATAGAAGACACCAAAATTTATGTCCACATGAGTGAAAAGATGATTTAATCTACTTAAGATTACAAAAGCTCCATTGTCATTTACAAAATGTAGGAACATTACCCACGTAAATGTTCCCACATAGAAGGAAAGATGAGGGCAATAGAAACTTTCACAATATGAAGTTAGCTAGAACCATCACTATTGCCACTTTTTAATCTTGTAATTCTAAAACCATCCTCTATATTAATTTTGAAGGATAAATGATGCAGGACTAAATATGCTTTAGATGGATGTGATAAGAATTTGCACGATTTTGATAAGAACAAATAACAATTAAGATTATTAGCTGCTAAACAAAAATAGAAAACGTAAGAAGGGTAGCTACAATTAGGCCAAATCACATGCTAAGCACTTTTAAGTATCAAAATAATTTAGAATTTCAACAGCATACAAATTAAGTAGTCATTCAACAAAAATCCCTAATCTAACAATAAGATAAGTAACATAGAAAGTACACACAGATCCTACGTATACTAAGCGGAGGCAGAGGGCGAAGCACGAGAACTTTGCGATTAAATTACCACCTACAAGGTTAGCGGATTAGAAAGATAATTGACGAGGGAAGAAGTTCACCCTTGCTGTTGTCCCAAAACAATTTGCCATTGGATGTTGGCAAGTTGCTCGTCGATGGCCTCCGAAAGCGTGAATATGATGCGGTCCACGTACGCTTCAATAGAGTTATCAACTTCCGGGTTGAAGTCGAAGAAGGTAGAGTGGAGGATGTTGACGTTCCCTTGCTCGTCGTAAGCGAATCCGTAGTCAAGCTCCGGATCGCCCATTCATCGGTATCGAAGGGTTGATGTGTAGCCGAAGATCGTAGTTGCTTCCCTTGGAGACTTCTCTA